TGGTGCCGAGGCAGACAGGGGATGTTTGAACCAGGCAGAGAAGAGGCGGGCAGCACCGGGCACCAGGCCATCGTCAGGGAGGTGGCGGAGGAGCTGCGGGCCTGCCCTTCGGCCCCAGTGAGAAGGAAGGGCGAACTCTGCCCTGGACGTGCCAGCAAGGCCGAGTGTAGGGGGAGCAGAAGCCACCTCGGAGGCGGCCGGGCGGCGGCCGGGCGTGAGCCTTCAGCAGGGTGCCCGGGCCTCCAGGTCAGCGGAGGGGGCGCTGGGGTCAGGACTCTGGGTCCTTCTTGCGTGGTGCTGCTGCCACAGGCACTCGAGGTGCCCGCCTGTTCCCTTCTCCAGTTCATTGTCTCGTGGCGGCAGGTTTATAGAGTATAGTTTTTTTTATTTATTTATTTTTTTTTTTTTAATTTATTTCTAGGAGAGAGAGAGAGAGAGCGTGAGCAGGGGAGGGTCAGAGAGAGAGGGAGTCACAGACTGAAACAGGCTCCAGGCTCCGAGCTGGCAGTCAGCACAGAGCCCGACGCGGGGCTCGAACCCACGAACCGCGAGATCATGACCTAAGCGAAAGTCGGACGCTTAACCGACTAAGCCACCCAGGCGCCCCTAGAGTATAGTTTATTTTATCGTAAACACATGCACTCGCAGCACCAAAGGCAGCGATGTGACTTCCGTACAGGGTGTGCATGCAGGTGTTCTGTAGCTGGCGCGGCTCCGGGGAGGGAGCACCCGACAGAGGGTTGCAGCAGCTGTGACCTGGACGGTTGGCACTCAGGCTGGCAGGTCCCGTCACAGCATCTCGCCCAGAACAGTCCCTCTGCCCCAGCGTGACTGGCACCCGCCTCTGCGCACACTATGGCTGCAGCGTCTGCTCCCAGCGGGTCCCCAGCCTGCCCACCTGAACCGGTCACGGTGACGCATCCCCATGTATTGCGGGACCCAGAGGGACCCGCTGTGGGTGGACTTGAAGCACACCCACTCCAGCAGAAGCCCCAAAGGCCCCGGGGGTGGGGGGGCCCTTCACACGAGCTCTAATGTTTGCTGCTTGGCGAGCCTCTTCTGAGTCACGTATGTCATCGGAATTCCAAGTCAGATTGACAGGTGACCGTCTGGGATGTCCTGGGGGCGAGGGCCCTGCGAGCTGGGTGCAGTTTGAGGTCTGAGGAGGTTTGTCGCCATGGGCATCACCAAGGGTCAGAATGGCCCGGGACCCTGACCCACATGACCTGTGTCTGCCCAGAGCCCTGAGTTTCCGATGTTTCCGTGATGTGTGCAGGGGGGTGTCAGCTCTCAGGGTTCACAGGGCATCTCAGGGCTCGTGCAGGGAGCGCTAAATCAGAACCAGCCGGCACTCCTGGGCACGGGGCAGGGGTGGGGGTCGCTGTGAGTCCCGGTGCCTCCACAAGCGTCTGGGACCTCCATTTCCTCGCTCATAATCGGGGATGTCTATGGCCTCTTTGGGATCAAGAGTCCGACAAACTGTAGAAAACAAGACAGAGAAGAGGGCGGAGGTTGAAGGTTTTATGTGCAAATTTGAAATAGAATCACTTAAAATGGATAATTTCAGAGTAAAAATTTAAGTATTTCTAATAAGATTGACCACAGATGTTTGTGCTCAGAAGATTCCGTGCTTCGACATTTAGATTTCACCAGATTTCACCGGGGAAATTTGACAGACTTGATCTTGCGTGTAGCTCAGGACACTCGGCCCTCTTCCAATGTCGGTGCTTGAGTTTTCCCTCCTGCACCGACGTGCTGGTGACGCTCTGTTTCCGGGGTGTTGATGGGGCTGTGAAGGTGATGAGCGTGCTCTCCGAAGAGCCTTCGTGTGTCAACAGACCCATTCTCCATGTATTGGTTTTTCTTTTTTAATGTTTATTTTTGAGAGAGAGTGAGTTAGCGGGGGAGGGGCAGAGAGAGGGAGACACAGAATCAGAAGCAGGCTCCAGGCTGTGGGCTGTCAGCACAGAGCCTGACCGGGGGCTCGAAATCACGAATCACAAGATCATGACCTGAGCCAGAGTCGGAGGCTTACCCGACTGAGCCCCCCAGGCGCCCCAGATCATTCTCCATTTAGAATCTTGTGCGAGAGTCTGACCCCTGGCCATTTTCAGGACCACATGGTTGTGTGAGGACTTTGTCCATGGTGCTTTGCTGGGCAACACATTTGATCCTGCCCTGACCCTAAGCCAGGTTTTGCTTCTGGGCGCAGCGTGGACAGGGCAAAGCTCAGTCTAAGGGATTATTTACTGGTGGCCTGCGTGTGTTTCTGGCCCTTTCAGAGCATTGATTCCTAACCAGCGATGTGAGCTAAGGGTGCCTGGTGGGCCCTGAAGGGAGTGGACAGGGTGGGCGGGGCTCCCTGGTGGTTTCAAAGCAGACTGTCCTCCCTGCCCCCCTGTTGAGGGACTGCAGGTTAGGTATCCCTTGGGCGAGCACGTGATGTGGGCTTGGCCCTACCTTTGGTCGCTGGCTCCCCTCTTGGGGAAACGACTGTGAGCACGGGGCTCGTGGCCAGGAGCTGATGGTCTCTGTGGCCTGGCGGTCCCTCCGCATGGGGCCAGTGGCTCCGCAGCCCAAGCTGAGGGAGGCGGGGTCCGAACTTCCCGAGGAGACGCTGGGCGCGGCCTCCGAGGCGGTGTCCGGCCACCCCGCTCTGGGTGTGTGGCCTGAGAGCCTGAGGGGAGTTGGTACTCGTTTGGTACCCAGGAGCCAAGGCCAGCTTCTCCTGGGTTAAGCCTTTCGGTACCGCATATTCTTACAGCCAGCGCTTCACAAGTAGGTCAGACACTAATTCAGTGAGGAGAAGCGGGGAAGGTCGATAGAGGGAAATGATACGTCAAGAAAGCAGTCTTGATTCCGGCTCTTTTACAAAAAACCACAAGCCTCGCCACCTTACACACGTAGCACACGCCTGTTACATACACGGAGGACAGGACGGAAAGCAGAGACGAGGGATCGCGCATTTCGCCAGCAGCCGGCGTTGGCGTCTTGCTCTACTTCCCCGCTGCCTGTCGTTAAGTGTGACCAGACCCGGGTCCTGCCTGCGCCTGCCGTCGTGGATGTCACCGAGATGCTTCTCTCTGGGCTTTTGCATAAGTGAGCCTGAGACGACTCCTCTGAATTGGGATGTTTTGTTTGTTTTGTTCTCTCTTTCCATGTTCTGTACTTTTTCATTTCTGCCAGAGGATAGAGGCCCCAGGGCCGCAATCCCAGTACAAACCCATGTCGGCGTGCCGGCCGCAGTGTTGAGGGTATGTCCACGGCCTGGCCACACTCCCCAGCTCGGGAGTTAGACGCGTGGCTTTTACAGAGGTCCCACCTGTGTGCCTGAGTCAGTCTGATATCTGGGCAGTGGCCCAAGATCAAGTCTGGGGGATTTGGGGGTCTTGGCGTCGGGCCGCACCCCCCCCCCCCACCACGTCCTGTGGAAGTTGAAGCCTTCCGGTAGGTGCAGGCTGCCCGACCCTCCTGCCCTCGGAGTCCGTCCGACAGACACAAACCCCTAGATAGGGACTGGTCCGGACGGAGAGCCCTGGCAGGACTCTGGGGGGGAAGCTGCTGAAGCACCGCTCGTCAGCGGTGTGGCTGGACCGGTGCGCGTGGCACGTCCTGGCGTCAGGTTACCCGGGTCAGGTTACACAGCCTGCCACACAAGGCCACTCGCTCTTTAACGTGTTGGGGTCCCATCGGTGAGCCCGCCGTTGTGGGGCCGGACAGGTGGGCTGGAGTCAGTGCGGAGGCAGCCATGGGGCCGAGCCTGCCCACCCCTCCTCAAGGGGAGGCACAGTGTGATGCCGGTCCTCGAGCCCATGGTAAGGCCCACTGAGGCCTGGGCCGCGTGTGATAGGGAGGCTTTCTGGGGTGTCCTGTTCCCAGCCAGCCACCTGCCAGCTGTCTGTTGAGGTAGCAGTGAGCCAATGAGTCATTCGTGAGCTTGGTGCTGGGCACACGTCACATGCTGGACTCCTTTCATACCAGGGAGTGGGGACGAGCCCCCCTTGATTTTGTGCTATGGCAGCACTGTCCCTCTCTTTCTAGACCTTGGGTCCTTCAGCCTCGTGTGAAGTGTAGGGGTCCTGGGTCAATGTCTGATGGGTGCTTCCTTAGACGGAGGGCGGGAGGGGAGCCCGAGGATGGATTCGGGAGGTCTGTGCGCAGGCGGTGGCCTCTCCTGGCAGGATTTGGGCTGAGTGCCCAGGTCCTGCCCGCTGAGCAGCGAGGTGCCAGGCTCCGGCGTCCCCCCACCCAGTTTGCCCCCCGCACACACCTGCAGCTCCATTTCACAGGCAGTACCCCGCACATCTCTTGTTCTGGGTGGACCTCCGTGGGCTCTGTTCCACTGGGGTGTCCTTCGGAACTTTCCCCACCTCCATGCCCAGGTCGGTGTGTCTGCTGACTGTCCACGCTGTGGTTGAAGCTTGCTGGCAACTGGGCAGAGGGCCCTAACCCTCAGAGAGGCCTGGGCGCCTCTGGGAGGAGCCAGGGCCCACCTAGTGTGACAGAAGTATCTTCTGATGGTGTGTCATGAGGACCTCACAGACTTGGGAACTGCTGCCCACAGGGTGAGGCTCCTCTGTCAGGTCACTGAGAGGCTCTGGGGCCACCTCGCAGAGGAAGACAGGCTGGTGCACATAGTCACTGTTCTGCGTGCCGCAGGTCCCCTCCCCGAGGTGAGAAGGCCATGCGGCACTCACCCTGGAGGGCAGTGTGTTAGGCTGCTCCTGGTGGGCAGCTTTACGACCGGAAGAGGCAGTGCCCTCCTTGGCTGTGTGTGGCCCTGCAGTCACTTTGCCGCCTGAATTCAGCGAGGTCCTGATGCAAACAGAGCTTAACTCGGCCCAGACCTGAAGTGGCGACAGACCAGGGTGCGAGGCCGCGGACGGCCAGAGGCGTGCGGACCACGTGCCTCCGCAGCCCTGTGCATGCGTCCCGGCCTGGGGTCAGTCGTGGGGCCCTTGCTTTCTCGTCCAGGACTCACGGTGCCTTATTTTTTGCAGGATGAAACTGGTGCCTATTTAATCGACAGAGACCCCACCTACTTTGGGCCTGTGCTGAACTACCTGCGACATGGCAAGCTGGTCATTAACAAAGATCTTGCAGAGGAGGGTATGTGGGGGACAGGAGCCTGGTGGACGGGAGGACTGCTCACCTAAGACACGGACCCCTCGGAGCCCCAGCCGCCCCGCGAGGCACAGGCCCCGTGCACTGAGGCCCGAGCACCCCCAGCCCCGCGGAAATCCCAGGTGCCTGCATCCCCTCACGGGCTCCCGGCGGCTTCACAAACCGTGCCCCGTGGGGCAGCAGGGAGGCATCTCCGAGAGATGAGGGTGGCTCGCCGTCTCTCCCCCTGCCTTCCTCCCGGAAGCGGAGACTTCCTGACCCACTGTAGTTGAGGGGGCGGCGTCAGGGCCCCGGTCGACAGTGCTGCCGCGGCTGGGGAGGCCACTAGCCCTTACGGCTGCTCTGGCTCCAGCGGCCTCTGACGCGCCGGCCATGCGAGTCCCAGGGCCTCCTCCGTGTGGATGTGCTGTCCCTCCAGGCACCGCTGCGCCCTCAGCTCGGAGTCCTGTCTGTGCTCAAACGTGCCACGCGGTCGCAGCAAGCAGAGATGCCAGGCGCAGCCGTTCACACGGCTTAACGTGTACAAGGGCCCTGAGAGGTCCAGGGCGCTTTCGCTCTGCTGGCCTCTGGCTCCGGCTGTGGCCACGGGCCCGTGATGAGCGCCCACCCCGAGCTGGGCTTGCTGCTCCCGCTCTTGCCGCTTCCAGACCCAAGTCAGCATCTTCTTTTGTTTCTTTTTTCTTTTTTTTTTTTTTTTTTTTTAATGTTTATTATTTGAGAGAGAGAGAGGCAGACAGACAGAGTGTGAGCAGGGGAGGAACAGAGGGAGGGGGAGACACAGAATCCGAAGCACATTCCAGGCTCTGAGCTGGCTTTCAGCACAGAGCCTGACACGGGGCTCGAACCCACGAATCGTGAGATCATGACCTGAGCCGAAGTCAGAAGCTCAACCGACTGAGCCACCCAGGCACCTTCAACATCTTCTTTTAGAGTGACCCTCACGGATGCACACTCGTGTCGTGTGCAGTGCCCTCCCTTTGCTCTGTTCTGGAGCTCTCCAGCTCCAAGCAAGACTTCCCGCGCAGCCTATTTCTGGGGTGGCTCATTCAGAAGCAGGCGCTTGCTGTGGGCAAGCGGCCGCTGACGCCTGTCTGCTCCTCCTCCAAGTACAGCACGCGCAGCGTCCCCGCATCCGATTATAGCACACACAGTTTCCCCGCATCCTATTACAGCACGCGCAGCGTCCCCGCATCCGATTACAGCACGCGCAGCGTCCCCGCATCCAATTGTAGCACACGCAGTGTCCCCGCACAAGAAGGGATACCTGCCCTTCGGGTCGTGAAGCTCCCACACACAGGCCTGAGAGGGCGGCCGACAGCATGACATTCTAGTTGCAGCCTCCCTTGGGGTGACCCTGAGAAAAGATGCCGTGCACCCCTGCCCCCACCCTATGACCGCGCTGTCTGGAGACCTATTTGGAACGTGGCCCAAGCGGAGTCCGCGGCTCTGGGCTCCTAGTGCTGCCAGTGCAGGGACACGTAAAGAGCAAGGTCAGGCCAGCACAGATCTTCTGGAATGCCTGTGAGCCATCTTGAGGCCGGGCCGTTTCAATATGTTCTTTAGAATTTCCTGGCACTTGAGGGACACCTGGATGGCATCTAACTCGTGACTTCAGCTCAGTTCATGATCCCAGAGTCATGAGATCGAGCCCTGCATCAGCCTCTGCGAGGGCATGGAGCCTGCTTGAGGTTCTCTCTGCCCGACTTGCGCACGCGCGCTCACTCTCTCTTTCTCAATAATAAAAGTAAAAATAAAAGAATTTCCTGGAGCTTGAGAGTCCCTAAATAAGTGCGGGACAAACGTCAGCCTTTGGGAAGAAAGGCAGTGCTGATCTGGCAAGAGTCCCGGAGCTGGGAACCACGCTCTCAACCAGCCAGTCTTCCAGTTGAATGAGGAAACTGAGGCACCAAGTGACTCAGACCTGCACAAAGCCACTCGGCCAGGCCCGGGCCACACATTGAGGGCAGTAGGTGGCCCACGGTCTGTGGATGGAAGAGAGTTCCACCCAGGCGTGCCGGGTGCAAGGCTCAGATGCCTGTGTGACTCTGCACCCGGCAGGCCACCTGGAGTGACGCATGCCAGGAGTGTGGGCAGTAAATGCGCCCTCTGCCCTCCCTCCCGGGGCACCCGCGGGGCGCCAGCCATGTCTGCACAAAGCCTGAGGGACGGGCTGTGGAGCCGCTGATAGGCCGGGCCGGGTGGGCCGGGGGCCCATGGCGGGACAGGGGTGAAACCTTTGTTCCTGGGGCTGGGGAAAATTAGGCATTTTTCTCTATTCTAGGAGTGTTGGAGGAAGCAGAATTTTACAATATCACCTCACTAATAAAACTCGTAAAGGACAAAATTAGAGAACGAGACAGCAAAACCTCCCAGGTAAGACCGGTGGCTAATCTGCCTGCAGCCGCCGAGGCCTGATGTGTAGGCACGACTCACTCCCTCCCTTCTTGCCGAGCACAGGCACCCTCTGCGCGAGGCCCAGGGTCAGTGCTGTGCTGGCTCCACTGTCTTCCTCGGTGACCATCCTAGCACCTCATTGCTTGCTCTCTACCTGCCGCCTGTGGTGCTGCTGGCCGGCACCGTGGCCTGCATGTTGGGCACACTTACTCAGTCCTGTCCAGCCTACACTCAGGGAGCCCTGCCCTGGGCAGAGGGGATAACCCATGCCACGGAGGATGTGCAGTGGGTGTGTGGACCTCTTAGGGAGGCCATTGTAGGCAGGGGCGCCACAAGTGCAAAGGGCCTGTGGCAGGCATGTGCTCAGTCCACTGAGAGGGCCAGTGTGGCCATAGGGAAGGCAAGTGGGGAGCTGGCAATGAGTGGAGGGGTAGAGAGTGGAGGTGGGGGTCCTGCAGGATAGTGGAGGCTCTGCAAAGACTCGGCTTTTACCAGGAGAGAAGGGCTCAGTCAGCACTCTGTGTTCCCGGCTGGTGGTGCAGGTCCCGTCGTGGGACCCGTGTGTACTTGGCCAGTCAGCAGTGCTGGAGCCAGGCCAGCCACTCTGCTGCCCATTAGGCCAGAGCTTGAAGTAGGCTGTATCCAGCATTTTCCGCGGAGGGAGGCATCAGAGGGTCTGAGACCTTAGTTTGCTGTCATGTCAGCTCCGCACTGGCTAGCAGAGCGAGCAGCTCCTGGGGGCTGGGGGGGGTACCGTGAAGTGGACATGCCTGCGGAGCTGCCTTGGTTATCTGGAGGTTCCGCCCACATGAAACCTGCTCCTCCCCACCCCCCGGCGCCGCAGGCCCCAGGCTAGGGGCTCTTGGCTGTTGGGAGATGCCCATTGACAACCTGGCCACTCAGCAGCTGGGCCCAGGCGTCCCCAGACCTCCCTCCTGAGGGACCTCAAGTGCCCTGACAGTGGGAAGGGTCCAGGGAGGGAGCAGGGGACACAGTCACAGGCTCCCTGGTCGTCTCTGTCCATTGGCTGCTGCTTTCCCCTCCATCCAGCTGAATGCCCTGGCATCTGTCTGCCTCTGTGTCCCCCTCTGCTTGCAGGGGTGGGGTGGTGAGGGTGGGGGTGGAGGAGCCTCTCCTCACAAGGCCTGGGGCTGTGTGACCACTGCTGGGTGAGCTGCTGCCTCGACGCCCCTGTGCTCACCGTCATGTCACACCCTCCGCCGCGCTCCCGCTCTTTGTCGTGGCCGCCGCCTCCTGCCCGAGGAGCAGGTCAGGAGGACAGGCTGCTGGCAGGCAAGCCCCCAAGCTGCTCTCAGCACTGGACACCAAGCCTCGGACACGGCTCGGTGGAGGGGGGGGGCGGGCATCAGCTGCTAGGCCCATGTTTCAGAAGCCGCTTCGCCGAGGGAGGGCTCGGGTCTGAGCACCCTCAGCGTCTCCGCTTTTTCTGGCAGCGGGACCCGAGGCTGGTCGCGTGAGGCTCCCCGGCCTCCCTGCCGGGCCTTCCCAGCTGTGTGCACTCACACACGGTGTCCTCGAGCTTCCACGTCCTGCTGAGGGTGCTCTTGGGATTTCAGGAACGTGACTCACTGTATTTTGCAATTTAGAAATAGAAATATTTGGGGAGGCGGATGAGGAAGTAGAAAACAGCAGCTGTTTGGCCTGTTTGTTTTGCTTTGGTGGATGCGTTTGGGGTTGCTTTGCACACGGTGACCTGAGCCCGAGAGGTGGAGGGAGCCAGTGTCAGCCTCGCCTGGATCCCCCACTGGGCCGTCCCCAGAACTGGCTCGCGGCCCGACTCATCCGTGGTTCCCGCAGGTGCCGGTGAAGCACGTGTACCGCGTGCTCCAGTGTCAGGAAGAGGAGCTCACGCAGATGGTGTCCACCATGTCTGACGGCTGGAAGTTCGAGCAGGTGAGGCCCCCTCCCCACCCCACCCCTGCCAGCCAGGGCTGCCGCCAGCCTGTTGTGTAACTTTTAATTACGAAGGTCCACCCAGGTCCTTGGGGCTGCTGGCCCCAGGGACCGGTCCTGAGGCCGCTTCGGTGGCCTGTGGCTCACTGTCCCCGTGTGCCCTCCGACACCTTGCAGGCAGCAGCCTATGCCCTATTCCAATCAGACTTGTGTCCAGGTGGGGAGAGTAGAGCCGTTCTGGAGCAGAGGCCTCCCTCCCGCTCCCCCCTCATCCTCTGGGGGGGGCGCGCTCTGTGTCTCCATCTGGCATCGCCATGTGTGTGGGATTGACAGCCTCGGTGCGTGCCGGCCTGGTTCCACCTTTTCATCCCCTCGCATTCCCTCCCTGAGAGCTGAGCAGACGGCGGCTTGGGCTCCTGTGTGCTGCGGCTGGCACAGCCGCCCTTCCCAGTGGGGCAGCTCTGCAGCCCCTGGTCGCCTCCCCGGCCACGGGGGCCAAGGTGCTGCTAGGGCAGTCCCAGCCGCTCCCTCCTCTCCCCTGCGGGGTGCTCCTCCCCTCTGTGCAGCTGTGGCTCCCGTCCCGTGCAGCCACAGCCCCCAAGTGTGGCCCCGCCACACGTCCTGGGCGCCCTCACATTGGGCGGCACCTTTTCTGCTCACGTTCCCGTCCCTCAGGCAGGTCCGGGCTGAGGTTGGGACTTGTGACCCTGCCCGGCCCCCGGTCCCAGGCAGCCACTGCCCCTCACCAAGCTCCCCGCTGGCCTCTGGCAGATTCCTCTGTCAGTGGCTCCTGTCGGGTACTGGCTGTGGAGCACAGCGCTGCCCAGGGAAAGAGTGGGAAAGGCAGGGTCCCCCAGCCTCCCTTCTGATTAAGGCCACATCTTTTCTTTGGGTCTTTAGAAACAGGGAGTGTGTGGCAGAGTGCCCTGGAGCGCACTGAGGCAGGTGCAGCGTTCGCATCCTCCCTCCTACCCGGGGCCAGCTCTCCGGCCTGGCAGGGTGGCAGCGTGAGTGGATGAGCCCTGTGGCCGCCGGGGCTGCTCTGTGTCCCTGTCTGGTCCTGGCCTGCCCCGTGCTGGGGGTGCAGATGGCCTCTGACCTCGTTGCACTCACCACAGAGACCTTCCAGGGACAGGAGTCCCCACTGCCCCTGGTGTCATCCGTCGTGTGCAGCGTAGACAAGGGCCTGAGAGATGGGGCTGCGGTCACTGGACCAGGTCACCCTCCCCTGGAGGCCAGGGCACAGCTCCCGTACAGGGCTCTGTCTTCCTGGTCGTGGCCAGCCTGAGGGCTCTGTCCTTAGCCCTTCTGGTGGGTCTCCACGCTGTGACACAGGCCAGCTTCCTCTCTTCCCTTTGAATCTTTAAAAAAGTTTTTTTAATGTTTATTTTTAAGTTGGTGGGGAGTGTGAGCGGGGAAGGGGCAGAGAGAGGGAGACACAGAATCTGAAACAGGCTCTAGGCTCTGAGCTGTCAGCACAGAGCCCGACTCGGGGCTCGAACCCATGAACCACAAGATCATGACCTGAGCTGAAGTCGGACTGAGCCACCCGGGCACCCCTCTTCCCCTTGAATCTTACCTGCTTTGCCCACTCTGTGCCTGGAGGACGTCCTCCTCCCAGCACCGGTCACGTTCGATGAGAAATGAATGCTCTGCTTCTCAGAAGCAGGAGCGGGGGGCACTCAGGGGGGAAGTAGGGCGAGAGCCCGGACCCTGAGGGGATTGGCACCACGCCCAGGGTCACCAGTGATCAGTGACGAGGCCAGAACAGGGATCTGAGGGGGGTTCAGAAGAGGCTGGCACACCTTGTGAGAACGTGCAGATCGTTAACAGGGGCCATGTGCGCGCAGCTCGGTCTGCACCCAGGGCCACGTACTCCCAAGGTTCGCAGGTGGTCGGACACCTCCCCATATTTGTGAGCCTAGAACAGACTTCAGGGCAGTGGGAGCACTCGCTGCCCCGCACTGTACTTGTCTGGCCACGAAGGCTGCACACTTTCCCATGTGGCCTCGCCCACGGTCCCCACCGTGTCCTCGTCCCCACAGTGCTGCTCGTGGTGCTCCAAGCCTCGCCGTGGCAGGCTTTCTTCACACTCCTTTTGCTTTCTGCTTAAAAGCGCGTGGCCTGTGGCGGCTCCGGGCTAGGCTGGGGCAGGTGGGTCCCAGGGCACCCGCACCAGCTGAGCCTGAGGCATGTGGAGGCCACAGCCTGCCGGCCAGCATCCCAAAAGATGGCCCCTCCGCCTGCCTTCCCTGCCTGCACCAGTGTGCTCCCTCCTCGGTGAACGGCCTGGCGGGAGGGGGCCCGGCGGCCGCAGCAAGAACAAGCACATCACGCGTGCGTGCTCCACTGCCGGCCCGGAGCCAGCCGCCACTGCCCCCGAGCCTGACCTCCCAGCACGGGCTCCCTCTCCTGTGGGCCCCAGCAGGGAAGGATGCGTGCGGTGTGTTGTGGGATGGCGTGTGTGCACGTGTGTGCATGTTGTGGGACTTTGCTTTCCATTTCATTAGAAATCTCTCAGCCAAGACCTGTCCCTTAACCTCCCGAGCGCCAGCTGTCTTCAGCGTGCGTGCGGGCGGGCGCCGGGCCAGGGTCCCCCTGCTGGTGGGGGGAGTTGGGGGGCAGGTGCGCGTGCAGTGCCCCGCCCCCATTGTGCTTCTCTCCTCTGTCCTAGCTGGTCAGCATCGGCTCTTCCTACAACTACGGAAACGAGGACCAGGCTGAGTTCCTCTGCGTGGTCTCTAAGGAACTGCACAATTCCCCGTACGGCACGACCAGCGAGCCCAGCGAGAAAGCCAAGGTGGGTGCCTGCGGGCTGGCGGCGCCGCGGTCCCTGCCCGCGGAGGGCCTGTGGCCGTGGCGGCTGCCCCTTCGCAGAGCTGGGCCTCCTCCTTTGGGCCTTGCCGTTTCTCACGGTTCGTATCGTGCTCCTGACCACACGGGCTGCGTGGCGGCCTGTGCCCCTCACGCTTGTTCATCGTCCCGTGCTTCAAGCCTCGCGTCGGACGCAGAGTCCTGGAGGAAAGGACACCTAGGCCCCGTGGGTCACGTGGCGGAACGAGGGGTCTTTGAACACAGGCTCCCCCTTGAGGCGAGCGCCTGGGGCCTCTGTAGCCCACGCCCTTTGCCGATACGTCTTCTGATGGGCAGAGATGCTTCTGGAAGTTTGTCTTTTAAGTGATGCCGTTGTGGGTTGTTCTCCTGGAGACTTGGGACGTCCAGGCTGGAGGACGGGCCCCCCCGAGTGGCACCTGCCTTAACCACACACATCCTGGTCTCTGGCCACGTTTGGCTCAGCCCAGCCCCTTATGAACTGTCACTGGCTCCCTGCCAGGGGCTGGCTCTTCTGCCTGCCGAGGAGGCCAGTGTGGCCAGGGTAAACGCCGGGACCACCGTGCCGTTGGTTTCCAGGGTGGCCTCATGGTGCACAGCCACGGCTGGCCTTGCCCAGAGGTGGCAGGTCCTAGCCACGTCTCCCCTGGGTTTGCTCCTGGGGTCACTGACTCCACAGGCTTCTGTTCCTGACAGAGTCCAGCACTGGCTGAGGCTGGCTCCATCCGGCGGGACTCCTGGGCCTGCCGCCAGCCGGGGCACGGTGCGGGGGGTGGGCACCCCAGGGGTCAGGACAGGGCTGTGGCCGCACCTCTGCTGAGCATAGGAAAGGGCCACAGCCCGAGGATCCGGAGGCTTCCTCGAACTTCTGGCCTGGGTGGCCTCTGGTCGATGGCCACCGGCCCAGAGCTGCCCTGTGACCCTCTCCGGGTCCTCCACGATGTGTGGGCCCAGGAACAGACAGCACAGTGTCCGCGAGCGTGTTGGTCTCCCCGAGGCGGCCGTCTCCGTGGGGGTCGTGGCAGCTTCGTCATCACAGTGTGAAGTCTCTGTCCTCACGATGGGGTGACTGTCAGGGACACAGGGCGTCCGGAAGGAGGGCTCCTGTCCACAGCCTGGCCTCCAGCTCATAGCTCGTGTGTGGGGCCCAGGGCAGTGTGTAGCTCAGGGCGCGTCCCCATGGTGCTGGGTCTGGGACATGCCTCCCATGGAGCCTGGGGTGGAAGGTGGCCCCAGCCTCATAAGGAGACAGAGTTCTTGTGTAAGTTGTTCATTTTTAGAAGGTTTTATTTTTGAACCTGAAAAGTTTTTGTGGCCGAGCTTCACCAGGGTGGCCGCCTGAGCTCATTTCCCTCGGGTGGGTCTTCAGTTGCAGAAAGACTGCATCTGTGCCATAAGGAAGCTCCAGGCATGACCCCAAATCCCTGTGCTTTTGAAAACGTGGCCCTATTTTTTCTCTCCAAAAATACCTCACTCTGAAGTGTGGCAGCCACGGTGACTTCTAAATGGGCGCAGTGGCTGGAGCTCCCCAGGAGGCGGAACCGTGGTTGGGGCCTCCGAAAAGCCGTGGAAAGCCACTGGGGCTGGACTGGGGACAGTCTGGTGGCAGCGGTGCTGCACGTCTTGAGGATGGAAGTCAGGCGGGGGCTTAGTGGTCCACACGAGAGTGACCTGCTCCCATAGACCTCAGGTTCAAGGGCTTCCCAGACCCCCTGACAATCCGACATTTGCTGGAAGGACCTGCGGAACTCACTGGTGGCGGGGACCCGCCGGAAGTGCGCCGACCGAGGGGCTGAGGCCTGGGGGCCTGTCAGACGCAGAGCTCCCTCATGGAGTCATGGTCTCGGGGCCCAGGGTGGCACACGGGGTGCTGCCTGCCAGCGATGTCCCCACCTCTGTCCAGAGGTTTTACTGGTCTCAGTGACCTAGACTAACTCGATTGATGATTGATGGATGACAGATTGCCCACTTGCCTGATCACAGTCTTCATCCCCCTGGTCAGCTGACCCTACCACGGTCATGTTCTTAGACTGTCACATCCTCTCCAGAGCCCGCGGCATAGGCCTGACCTCGAATGGGCAAGTTTCAGTTCTGAAGACTCCGGAGCTTTGGGAGTGCCAGGCCCAAGGACAGTGGGCCCTGTGGTTTTCTCCATGGCACGTCTGGGTGTGTGGGTTCGGGGCCCAGGGCCACCCCTGACATGGCGTAGGTCCATCTGTGTGTCCCCACGTGGCGCCGTGGGAACTCCTGACCCCAAGCACCCACCCTTGCCACCGCCCTGGGTGGGCTTCCCCCAGCTGCCCCCACCTCACCCTGCGCTGACGGTGCCCTCTCTTCTTCTCCCTTGCCACATGCTGCGCGCTGAGCCAGAGCGACGACGAAGAGACGGGTCCCGATGGGGATGACTCAGATTAAGTGTAAATGTCATGGTGAGCTCTGTCACCCCTGAAACTGACCAGTCACCTTAGTCTCCTTGACCCCAGCCCTTCCTCTGCTGCATTCTCCCTATACCCGTAGTTGACAGAGAACCTTCCACGCTAGATGCCAAGTGTGTAGATCTCCAGTGGAGCCTGTCTGTTTCCTTTAAGACGTCTGCATGGGGAGCACTGGGACCTGGTCTGGGGTGCCCAAGAGCCCTGTGTGTCATGCTGGGAAGGACCTCCTCACTGTTGGGGTCAACGGGCCGAGGACGTGGGCCTGTTCCTCCTGGGGCCTGGCGAGCACCCAGCCCCCGACCCCCTGCTCCTGCCCCTCTGCCGTGGGTTCAGGTCCACGGAGACAGGGCTGTGCCTTAGCGGGTAGACCTCAGTCCCCACGCCAAAGCCCACAGCGCCCCTCCCCAGAACTTCAGACGGGATGTTGATAGAGGCGATCCTCTGAAGATCTTCTTTCTGTTTGTCCCGTGATGAGGGGCTCCTCGGTCCTCAGCTGCTCCCACGTCCCAGTGTGTCCTGGCCTCTTCCCCTTGCCCGAGCCTAGAACCCAGCTGTGCTCACCACCAGCAGGGGCCGCCTGCTCTGTGCCCCCATCTTGAACACAAGAAGTCACCTAGAGACGGCAGGTTGCAGGTGGGCCAGCCAGGCGTCATACAGGGGTTCCCTGCTCCCTCCGGGGCCCCCCGGCTCGGGCCAAGCCTCAGAGGTGGGAGCCTCTCAGCCTCTGCCCTGGGAAGACCTCGGGAAAGGCATGCAGCCAACCGGGCGCTAGAAAGTTGGCTCTCTGGCCATGAGAGGTCTGGACTGGGGATTGCAAACTAAGGGCATCATTTACATCTTTAGTTCTTTCCTTAGTGATTGTACAAGTACACGACATCCTCAGTGTTGCCTCTTGACCCGCCCACCGTTAAATGTTTGCTGTTTGGTTCTCTAAAAAAAACTCTGCAAGCCCTGGTCTGGGCTGGTGCTACCAGGAGCCCTGCATGTCTGCTCTGTGCCCTCAGACTCGCCAGTAGTCACGCCAAAGAAGTCCAGAGAAACGTGAATGTGTGCTCCTCCAGCACACACCGAACCTCAGAAATCGTGGGGAGACTGACTTTCCTCCCTCGAAGCCTCTGTAGCGTGTGGTGTGTAGTTTGTGATCATAGTCCCCTGTTCGGGCTCAGCAGCCAGGTGGACAATGGGCTCCGGAACCAACCAGGCCGGGCACTGGGGCAGCCAGCCTGCTGGCCAGGCCACTGCTCTGGGGTCCTGGGCTAGGCCAGCTGAAGCAGCAGCCGCCTGCCTCGGCCCGTCCGACGGGGACTTGAGGGACACAGCTGGTGTCTGCGTTTGGCTCAGGCCTCCGCTGTGGGGGGCGGCCCAGCTAAGAGCCCATGCTGGGTGCCTGCCTATGACTGTCACAGGTCCTGGGAGGGATTTTCCATCCTTGTTAAGACGTGGTTGTTGGACCTCACTCTGGTGGGGCCCTGTGTGGTCACCTTGCTCTGGACCATGTTCCGGTCGCATGAGGTTCATCTTTCCACTGTGATCTCAGACACTCCGTCTCCTCTGCTGGGCTCCCTCAAAGTGAGGGGCGACTCTGCTTCATGGGCTCGCACAGATTCTGGCTTGCCCTGCAAACAGCAAAGATGCAGGGGCTGGGGCCAGCACCTTGGGGACACAAGGGACCTGCGAGGGCTGATTGAGCCTGTATGATCATCCCGGGTCACCTGCTTGGACGGGGCCCCTCTGACAGGGGCCATCTGGGCTGAGGAGGGATGTTCAATCTGGGGCCTGCTCCCCCATCACAGCAGAAGGTGCACTGTACAGGGAGCAAAGCGGGGTCCCGGGTGGTGGACACGATGGGCCACGGAGCATGAGGGCCTGCGTCCCGGGTGTTAGGAGCCCTCTGAGACATGGTGGGCATGGGGACAGACAGGCACGTAGGGCGCCAGGGCACAGGCTGCAGGGACCCGCAAGAATTTGTGCCTCTGGAGTGGTTCTGGACGACCACTTAGTGAATGGGACTTCCTGGCACCCCCGTTCGTGTGGCCACACTGCCCTGGACAGCCACCCTGGCCTGCGAGCAGGCAGTCGAGCTGGTGGGGCCTCCCTGCAAGGCATTGAGCCTCTGTGGCCACAGCGTCCGTGAGGGCCTGGGCGGTGCGCTCCTGGGGCGCTCCCAGCTTGTGCCTGGCTGCGGTGCAGAAACAAAGTGTCCTCAGAGCCGTGTCTCGCTAAGCTCTGGAATTCGAGTGGAAGATGCCTCCAGGAAGCTAGCTCTCACACTGACGACGGTGCCTACCTTGGCTGGGTAGGGCCAGGCTGGGACTTAGACTCAGGACATTTCTCGTAGTTACCTGGTGCTTAGCAGCCATCCTGTGCATATTGATCGAAACCACAAGATCTGCTGGCTTTGAAGCCCCCACCTGGGGACACAGGGCAGCCCTTTCCCCAACCGGGTCTGCGTGGGGTTTGACTCCACAGGCGTTCACCAGTGCTCGGGCCTGTCTCCAGGTGGCTCCAGGCCGTGAGAAGCTCCCAGCCTGGTTTGGGAGTGGATGGGATGTAGAGATGCCAGGGCTGAGGGAGGCCAAGGGCCTTGCTCTGTCCCTGAGATGCCAAGGAGGAGTGACAGAGAGAGGGACAGTTGTGGCCGAGGAGTAGTGGGCTCTGCAGGGCTGCAGCAAGAAGGGGCCGGCACCCTTGAGGTACGCGGTCCAGTCACCGGGAGGCCAGCGCGCCGTGAAGCAGAACGTGAGCCATTCAGGCATCGTGCAGGGTGACTGGTTGGGGGGATGGGGTAGCCCTGGGGGCTTGGGCTTCAGGGCTGTGTGTCTAGTGCAGGGTTGAGGGGACATGGTCTGTGACAGATCACGGAAGAAGGAAGAGGAGCAGGTTATTGGGGGACCTATGGTACCTGGTGACACACAGGGGCCCGCAGCCCAGGACTTAGTCTGAACACTCGGGACCTGATGCCTGTCCCACGAGCCCTGGCACCCTCACGGGGAGAGCAAGGGTGGCTATCAGGGGGCCTCTGGGCCCTTAATAAGGAGCCACTGGTGTGGGAAGTGGGGCACACACGTGTGCTGTGGGCCGGGATGGAGAGCTGGAGGCCCTGGAGAGGGCCAGAGGTGCATGAGGCGGCCCGCTCAGCAGAGTCTCCCGGTCCTTCTCTGCGCCTGACCTGCATGCTGGCCCCCTGGATCCCCCCGGGGGTGGACTCAGGCTCCTGGGCCCTGCTTCTGATGAAGGGTGCTTTGCGTCGGGGCCTCGTGGCTCCCAGCTGGCCGCAGGCCACCGCCCTGTCTGACGCCTTGGTCCTTATTCTCTGTGTTTGGTGTTTTCAGATTTTGCAAGAACGGGGTTCAAGGATGTGAGAAGCATAGTGTTGACAACTGAAGAAACATTTTATCTTTTCCCAAGATGCAACGATCTGCCATGTTGAGGAAGCTTGGCCGTGAGAAGAAACCTGCTTTTGACAATTTCTCTAGAGATCTGGGTGTGGATCCTTTTTTGCCTCTGAGGTGGGTGGTGAGAGACGAGACGAGCTGTCCGAGGCCCGGCGTCCCCACTCGGAGGAGGCGTGCTGGCCGGGTGGGTGTCCCTGCGGGGGCCCTTGCTTGGTATCACGTGCTACATGGGCCCGAGGCAGGAGGCTTCCTGCCAGCCTGATCACCGGAGAGCATTCAAAGGACCGCGTTCTTGGTGCTACATAAACAGTCTATAATGGAGCCTGGGCCTTGCTGGTTGGAAGCCGCCGCAGCGCCGTGGCCCCAGGCCCCGGGTGCCCACCGGTCACCCACGTGCGCCAGGCCCTGGGCCTCGGCTGCCTCCCACGCGTGAGCGGTTGGCACTCTCTTGCAGCCCCAGCGGCTCCTGAGAGAGGCGGCCTCCGCGTGTTCACTACTTCCCGGGCCTCCGTCGGAGCCAGGCTCCCCCGGCCTGACCCCGCCTGGAGCAGTCGGGGCTTCTCCGTTTGTATTTTCCGGGCAAGAGAACTTTGCATCCCTTCTTCCCCAGTGTGGATGGACAACCCAATGTTTTTACTTCTTAGAAATGCCTAAAAGTGTTGCTGCACTTTGGACCGATCTGCTAAGTCATTCAAAGGGAGGCAGAAGTTCGTCGTGTGCGGCCCACCCCCGGGCTTGTGGGGGAGCTGTTGCCCGTCAGTGCCTTTGTCTCGCCTGGGATGGAGGCCGGGGCGGGAGGCCTGTCCACCTGGCTTCCGGAGCCGAAACTCCGGGTCACACTGAAATTTGGATGTTTACAGTGCATCACAAGTCTCTCTCTTGCCGGCTCTCTCGTTTTCTTTGTATAACTATGCAGTTCTCTCTGGTGTTTCTGGGGTGTTTGAGACTTCACACAACCTGCACGGGCTCTGCCCACATGACCTGACATCGGAGCCACTAGAATCCCTGTAGGAACCGCTGCTCGCATGCTCTGAGGACAGACCTTTCTTAGCTGGCCGTGGGGGCTGTCTGAGCACGGGGTGGGGCCTGGCTCGGACGTGCAGCTCTCGCCTTCCTTGCTGGGGTGGCTGTGCGCACTGACCACTGCTGGGTGGGGCGGAGGCTCTGACGTGCTTCGTTTCCACTGCTTCCGGAGGCTTCTCGCCTGTGCCCTCTTCTTCTTTGCCAATAACCTGATTAACCTAGTTCTCCAGCACCCAGGACTTACCTCCTCCTTTCTGTAAGGTCTGTTGTATGTTGTTAACTGTTTGCTTCAACTGTTCATAGCATCCTTTCCAGAGGGCACATTTAGGTCCTTGTGACCCCCCCTCCCGGTGAGCCCCAGGGAGGGGGGCAGCCCCTTAGTGGCCTCGGGGTGTACCTATGGGGCCCTGCTGGCCACTTAGCGTCGTTTGATTTGTGACCTTGACATAATAGATAGGCTTGTTGTTTTTTAATTTAAAGATATTAAGACTTAATTCACTAAAATTTATTCTAAGGGGATATTTATACTTTTATACTTTTTTAGGTATCCGTATTTTATCAGCTTACAGCCTAAGTTTCCCCTGAAAATAGCAAATAAAATTGTGTATTTATGAATGAGTAGAACAACTGTTAGTGTCTTACAACGCACGGAAAAGCGGCTGCTGCAGAGACGCTGCCCTGGCCTCGCGGTGACGCGGGCGCAGTCGGTGGCCAGGGGGGAGCCACCTGTGTGTCAGCTGCCTGGCCAGGGCCCAGTGAGGGCCACGGCTGGCGCAGCAGAGCAGCACACACCCGTCTCCCACCCCAGCCAGGCCGGCCCCGGCCACCTCCCCTACCTCTTGCTGGCATCATACCCCCGTCCCCTGGGAGAGGAGATCATTGAGTGACATTTTTAAGGCACTGAAGCCTCGAGGCGTTGAGTGTGTCCCCGTCTTGTCTCTCACCCTGGCCAGGAGCCCCAGCCTCATCCCCGGGCACCTCCTGCCAGCCTGCAGCCGCTCTGACTCCCCCTGGTGGCCCCGGGCCACCCTCCACACTTGGGGGAAGTCCCCACCCCCTGTGCCCCTGCAGCGCCACCCCCCTGAACTGGGGCGCCTTTGGTCCCAAGGTACTGGAGCATCTGGCTGCTCAGACCACCAGCCTTATCTGAGTGTCCGTCTCGCTTCCAGGAGTGCTGCTGGCCTGGCCAGGGTCCCAGGGTCCTGGGGTTTGTCTTGCCGGCCCAGGCTGGGGAATGGGACCTGCTTGCCTGGAGGCTGAACTCTCAGGCGACCGGTGCACAGTGGGGGCCGCATGGGGCAGGACTTGACTCTGCCTCTGCGAGTTTGCTTTCTGCACAGACTGAACTGGGCATCTTCCAGCTCTCTGAGGACAACAGAGAACCGGAACGTGTCTCCAGGTCCCTCTGCCAGGGTCGTGTGTCCCCATCAAAGCCCCCAAGCTGGTCCCCCTTCCAGGCGAAGGACTGGAAAGGAGACAGCTACGCAGCCCCGGTCATGAGACTGAGGGCCCTGACTCGGGCCACTGGGCAGGCAGGGAGCCCTGCCTCGTGAACCTGGTGCTGTAGGCACAGCCTGACCGCCATGGGGGGCGGGGGAGGGCAAGCGCACGGCTCTCTGGGCAGCGGGCCGGACAGAAGAGGGAGGCGGGCGTCTGGAATTGTAGCTGCTGGGCCTCCAGCCAGAACCTTCTGGGCCACCACACAGGTGCCACCCCTGATCACCTCGCCGTGCATCTCTCCCCTACGTGCACCCAGCAGGTCTTTCTGGCATCTTCCATCCTCCCCAGAGCTGGGGGCGGTGGCTGGCTGGTGCCCTACCGCCCATCGGTCGTTGGGCCTGAGCTGCAGCCGTGCATCCGCCCTGGGAAGACTGTGCCCTGGGGCTTGCCAGGTGCCGCCCCCACATAGCCCTGAGCAGCAGACACTGCTCAGCCCCGGCCCCGCCACCGTGCACAGGCCCACACTTCCCGGAGACAAACCGCACATCTGCACCAGCATGTGGATGCACAGCCCCTGGGGTGAGGCGGAGAGTCGGTCTCTGGCTTGGGGGACTTTGACTTGCACACACGCCCTTTCCTTCCTCTCCTCCATGCGTCCTGCCTGACCTGCCTTCTGAGCACCTGGACTCTGGGTGAACCCCTGCCCCTGCGCAGATGCTCCAGGGCCTGGGGCTCAGCCCGGGGTACAGAGCCAGTCCGGTGACCTCAGGGCCATGGCCCTTCCACGATGCGTGCAGGGGTGTGGATCTCCGTGCTCGGCTGCAGCCCCAGGAGGAATGTCTGGCCCCGTCCTCACTGTGATGCCTCAAGGTGCGTATTTGATTGCGGGCACTGGCCCCGGCCTGGGCCGGGGGGACAGGCACAGGTCGGTGCCCGCCGCTCTCTGAGGTGTTCCTCCTGCACCTGCCGGGACCCTGGTGCCGCTGTCCACCCCCAGCAGACGGCCCTGAGGCACGGCTTGGCAGCAACAGGCAGGTCGTGTGTGCGCTGTCCCCTGCCCGGTCGGGGGAGCGACCATGCCAGCAGGCAGGTTTTCTGGGTGTGACCTGCACAAAAGTACTCGGCTCTCTCTGCCAGAGTGTTTTCTCTTCCATTTTCTTGAATGTCTGTCCCGGGGCCAGGTGGGCCAGGGCGTGGGGACCGTGCCGTAGGTCCCACCCAGGACCCCCCAGACTCGCCGCCCCAGCCCAGCTGGGTGGGGTGCCGCGGGGGGCTTGGCCGTCCTGGCATCTGTCCCTCCTCCCTGTTAGCCCCGGAGGGTCCTGACCAGACCCTGCCCTGTAGCAGAGGCAGGTGAGTGACGGGGTCCCTAGGTCCCGGAAAGCTGGCACACCCGCGAGAGGAGGCGGGGTGAGGTGGCACGTCCTCCTCAGAAGGGAGCTGGCCTTTGCCCGTGTGCACACTCACTTTCACCCCGGCCTCAGCACAGAGGCAGCTGGGGAGCCTCCAGAGACCAGTTAACTTCAAGGCACCACCCCCACCTCCACCCCACAAGGGGCCTCAGGCTTTATCTGCCCCCAGCCAGTGACACAGAACTTGTCCCTAGGGCCGCACTCAGGACACCTGCAGCCAAGTTCCTGTCTTCCCACCCCTGCTGGGACCTCGGTGCACCTGCTGCTCCAGCCCCAGGGATGCGGAGCCCATCTGCTCTGGAGAAGGAGCTCACAAGTGGCCTGGTCCCTAGAGGGCCACTGAGCAGCCAGCAGGGAGGGGGGCCCCGTGTGAGCCCCGCCAGTGCCTCCCCTCCTCGTCCTTCCTGCCATGCGGAGGGGATGCGCCCAAAGTGGAGCACGGAAGGGAATTGGTGTTTGTTCCCACTCTGTCCCCAGGGCCAGTCCACAGCAGGTGCTTGCTAAGTGGTTATTGATTCATTCCATAAATATCCAGGTCTGCTTTCTTCCCGGCACCAGGTCCAGGCAAGCCGCCCCTGTGTGTGCGCCAGCGAATGTGTGTGCATGCATGTGTGTGGGTGTGCACCGCGGTATGTCTGCAAGGGGGGGGGGGGGGGGNCGGGGGTGGGGGGGGGGGGGGGGGGGGGGGGGGGGGGGCGGGGGGGGGGGGGGGGGGGGGGGGGGGGGGGTGTGCGCCTGTGTGCGCAGGGCAGCGCGACACCTGGCCCTGCCTTCCTAGGAGTCCCGTTCAGCGGATGGCCACTGAGCTCACCGGCAAATCCAGGTACCTTTCAGGAATCGGCCCGCGTGAGGGAGCTGGCCATCTGGCCGCAGGGGCACTGCTGGGGGCGCTCCTGGGCCAGGCCGCTGACTTGAGGCCATCTTCCCAGGGCAACCTCGGGCAGGCCTGAGCAGGGCTGGAACCAGCTGGGGACCTAAGCTCTGGGGACCTTTTGTGCTGAATTCCTGGTGGTGACAGGCCCCAAGGAGGCAGCCAGGAAGGGGGGCTGGGCTGCAGAGCCCGGGCGGCTGGTGACGGTTCTAGCTCACTTCTGAGTTCCTGGGAATCGTGCACAAAACCACTGGCGGCCCCAGCTAGTGTGGCCTGAGCCCTGGGTCCTGTAGGAGCAGGAGGGGAGAGGGGCCTGGCCTGGGCCTGGGCAGGAAGGCCTGTCCTGCTGATGCCCTGCCCTGCCGTGGCCAGGCCCCTCCGTGTGACACATGGCACAGCTCGGACTGCCCTTGCCATGTGTGGGCTTGGGGTGACTCGGACACAGGCAGTGGGGGGCCGTGATCTCCCGAGGCCCCCGCAGCCTTCCTCCTTTAGGATCCTCCACTGGGCCCCCATTTTTCCTGCTGGTATCTGTTGCTGCCCCAGGGGCGCCCCTCAGTGATCATCATGGTGAGAACCACATTGTCAAGGACACTGAAGCAGGGAGCCACCTGTGGGGGGGTCCAGGGACAGGTGTCCAGCGTGCCTCGACCCATCTGCTCCCCCTGAGGGACCACAGGGCAGCCAGTACTGAGGCCAGGCTTTGTTTTTACTGGAGGATGAACATAAATAAAAAAATAACTGGGCACTTGACAGAAAAGAACGGGCGAGCTATTTACAAATGTGCACCGGGGCCCCGGGGCTCAGAGGAGGGTGAGCAGGGCCCCGAGGAGCAAGAGGGCCGCGCGGGCCACCAGCCAGGGCGCAGAGCTTGCAGCTGGGGGCGGGGGGCTCCGGGGCCCCCGCCTCAGGGCCCCCGACCTGGCCTGCTGGAACTGCAATTCTGGGATGATCCGATGGATCCAGTCGTGGTGGGAGGTGACCCTGATGTAGACACCTGGGCGGTTCCGGCGGGCGCAGCCCTCACCCCAACTGATCACCCCCGCCTGCAGCCACGACTGGCCCACCAGGCACACCAGCGGACCGCCCGAGTCGCCCTGCGGGGAAGCAAAGGCCTTGTCAGTCTTCAGTGGCCCGCGGAGCCGGTCTCTGCAGGCGTGCGCACACACCCCTCCCTTTGTTCCTCTCCTCAGCTCCCCTAGGGGTGCTCCTCCCCAGCAGCCCCCCCCCCCCCCCGCTACCCACTGGCTGGTCCTTCCCTTTATGGCCTGAGGCACCCATTTCTCTAGCACCCTGAGACTGCCTGCCCCGATTTCACCTTAGAGGGGCTTGTTGAACGTGCAGGTTCCTGGGCCCCACTGCAGACCAGTATACAGACTGCTGGGTGGGGTCCGGAGTCTGCGGGACCCCACTGCCAGGATGCCAGGCTCTGGTCTGGACCGTGGCCCCACCGACTGGGGACCTTCTCGTCCCAGCCAAGCTGCCTCCCAGCTGGACCGGGCCTAGGGAGCAGGGCTCAGCCTCTGGCACAGCCCACCCCAGCCCCTACCTTGCAGGCGTCCTTCTTGCCCTCGGCAAAGCCAGCACACAGCATGTCATCCTTGATGGCTTTGGGCTGGAAGCCGGACTCGGCATCCTTGCTGTAGAGCAGATTGCACCTGGCCGTGTCGATGATGGGCACGGCCAGCTTCTGCAGGACCCGCGGGTTGGGCAGGCGGTCTGGGGAGGGGGCGAATCAGCCTGCAGTTCAGTGCGCCGTCTTACCCAGGACCCCGTGGCCCTGGGCTCTTTCTGGCCCCTTCTCCCCACTCCCCATGGCTCCTGCTGAGTTTGCTGACGCCTTCCCTTACCCCCTCCGCCCATCTGAGGAGAGACCCACATGTACCACTATCAGCAGAATGTCCCCCCCTTCCCTCCCAGCTCTGCCCCATTACCTTCCTCACTGGGGCTGCCCCAGCCGGTGACCCAGCAGTTCATGCCCGCCTCAAAGACGACCGAGGGGTCAGGCATGCACACGGGAAGGATGTGACTGGTGAAGGTCACAGGTGTTTCCAGCTCCACCAGGGCCACATCGGCACTGGAGGCCATGCCCTGGTAGAGGGGGTTACTCTCCACCTGCTTCACCCGGGCGTACACGGCGTGGGGCCCCGGCTGCACCAGCTGCCGCACCCCAAGCACGACCTGGTACAGGGATGTCTCAGAGGTGCTGGTGGGAAAGACAGAGAGCGGGTGTGAGACGGCCCCTCTAGGGCTTAAAAGAGAGGTGAGGCTTAATAGAGCATCGAAATGAGGAGGGGCTGGGGTTGTTCCTCCGGTATCAGGTCCCTCCCTCCTGGCCCACCCTGGTGCCTGACCACTGTGCACAGTGTCTTCAAAACGTCACCACCAGGGGATGTGCAGGGAGGTGAGGGGTGAAGAGTGTAGAAGCTGAAGCATCTCTAATTCCTGACTTTAATTCCCAGCTCCACCCTTGGCCAGCCAGATGACCTTGGGCAGGGAACCTAGCAGGTTCTCTGTGACTCAGTTTCCTCGTCTGTAAAATGGGGCCAGTAACAGTCCCTACGTGAAAGGGTTAAAAGAGATGCCACCCACGGGGCGCGGCTGGGGGCTGAGCCTGGCCCTGCCTGTAGGCCTTGGGCAAGCCACCTACTCCCTCTGAGCCCACGTTTCTGAATGTGAGGTGCAAGGCTGTAAAAGAATTTCAGCCCTGCGGTGAGGCAGGAGCGGAGATGCTCAGGAAACCCTGAAGGTCCGCGGCCAGATGGCTCATGGTAGGGTGGTATGGGTGACCTTAGGCTGAGGAGGAGGAAGGGCCATTCTGCTCCAGCTGGCGGGCTCATCTGTAACCGGAACCTCAGTTGAAAGGGGAGTGTCTTGGGTTGGAGTTGTGGAAGGGGGACATGGAGGAGGGTCAGGATGTGGGATGAGCCTGCCAGCATTGCAAGGACGGGGCCCAGGTGGGGCAAAGCGCCAGGCGAGCGACACCAGCGGTGTGGGAGGGGCCCCCTCCCCGCGGACTGCCGGGCGCGGCGGGGAGGGCGGACCATCGGCGCCGCCCGGGGTGCTGGAGACCCGTGGCCCCGGCGGGGCGGCGCGGGGCGCGGGGGAGCCGGGGGGCTGGCTGACTCACTTGGAAAAGCAGTGCGCAGCGGTGAGGACCCATCGCTCTGTGATGAGGCTGCCCCCGCAGAAGTGGCTTCCGTTGCGCTGGATGCTGACCTGCCAGGGCCACTCGCCCTCCAGGGCGTCCTGGCCACCCACCATCCGGTTCAGCATCCTCGGGCGCCCGCAGACTAGGGGACAAGGCCGGGGTGGCGCTCGCTGGGGACCCTTCCATCGCCTCTGGTGCCCAACTCCCACCCCACACTCTCTGTCGTCCATCTTCTGCCCAATTCGGAGCCCTCTTTCCCCTTGACCCACTCTGAGACCCTGGGCAGGTCAGGGGCATGGGTGGCCCGTCAGCCTCTGACACAGGCAGACCAGCTGTGGGAAAGTGCCCCTGCCCTTCACCTCTGAAACAGTGACGTCAGATCTACCTCTCTGGTCACAAGACGTGGAGAGGGTTCAGATGACACATGGGAAGGTCTCACCCCAGGGCCTGGCGCACGGGCTCCCAGGAGGACGGCAGGTGTTGGAAAGGCCCCACACAGGGAGGGCACCCTGGGGGCTCTGCTGCTGCTGTGGCACGTGGTCTGTAGATTGTGTCCTTGGGTTCTTTGTCCCCCGACCCCCTCGTCTGTGCGCCATGCCTCCGCAGGCACCTGTGACCAGATTGGACCTTCCTCCTCCACGCCCGTCTTGGCTCTGACCCTGCTGAGCTACAGCTTCCCCTTACTTTGGGATTCCCCATGCCCCACCCACTGATTTCGGGTCTCCTTCTGGAGGGCTGTGGGGGGGGGTGCCTCTGGCCAGTCTTGGCAGCTCTAAGGAAAGCCCCCCGCGTCCCCCCATCCAGGGGCCTGGGATACTTACCACTTGATGCCTCGGTCCCCTGAGTCCCTGCAGGGGAGGAAAAAGGGGGTGATCAGCCAACTTTGTCAAAGCCAAGGTCTGCGTCTCCCCTACCCGCCTCCTCTGCTCCACACCCAGCCTCCTGAGGACATAGGACAGTCCGCGGGGGACCTGGCAAGAAAGGCCGGGGGCCCTGCCATGTTTACGAGCCCAGAGGGTATCTGCAGGGGCAGACAAACTCCTTGCCACACAGGAGCCGACTGGTAGAGATGCCAGCGAGGGGACCCCCATCATGGCTCGGCTCTGCTGCTTGGGGCAAGGATGGCTTCTTCTCCTGTCCTCGGGGTCGGTCTCTCCATACCCTACAGCTGTTCCCATCTGGAAGCTTCCCCCCCGGAGCAGGCTGGAGCTGTGTGGCCTTCACATGGAGTGCTGCAATGTAAGCCAGCCGGCACCGGCCACACAGGTGTCTGGGGTCCCAGGGGAGTAGAGGGAAGCAAGCCAGTAGCATCACGGGTCAGTCCCCACAGGATTCCAGACCCCCAAAAACTCAACACCCCCTCATGTTGTGCAGTTGGAGCCTAAGACCCCCCGCTGGACCACTGCGCACCCCCACACCCCAGGAGAGGGGACAGGCAGAGGGGTCAGCAGAGTCTCTCTGGGGGCCCGTCTCCCCAGGATCCGTCACCTGGACACAGGCACAAGGCCCACTACTCGGCCTTTACGGAGACCTCACCCCAGACTTGAGACCCCCACCCTGTGTGAGCAACACGCTGGAAATACCTGCCAGTCTCCCAGCACCCCCAGCGTATGCTGCACGGGGGTCGAGAGCTGGGGTGGGCGACTCAGGACAACTTCTCCCTACTTCAGCACTCAGCATTTTCCCTGTGCCCCAACCCCTTTAGGGACCAGAGGGTGTGGCAGCTGCTGTTGCTCACACTGACCCTTTGACCAGAAGAGGTCGCCAGTCCCATGGAGGGGAGGGGCTCCAGGGGCAGGAAGTGGTTGTGACCCTGGGGATTTTTACAAGGACCCCACTCCAGTCTGAGGGAGGCAGTCCCCACTGTGGGATGAGGCTTGGCGGATGAAGTGTTGAGGGGGTGGGGGGAGGCGGGGGCGGGGAGGGGGCTGTGCCCGGGGCAGGAGGAGGTGGACACTGGCGGCCTGACCGGGCAGGAGTATGGGGGCAGGAGTGGTGCGTGCGCCCAGTGATGGGAAGAGGAAGTCGGCCGGGACATTCCACTCAGCGATGTGTGTTAACAGGTGCCCTTGTAAAACGCACATGTTCCCTGGGAAGGCGGTTCCCTGCAGCCCCCTCACCTATATTATAATAGAAGGTAATTAGACCAAACACCTGACCCACTGCTCTTCCTAATGCCTGATGGCAGGATGCTCCCATTCACCCCTGTCCTCATGGGCACCAACGTTCCTTCAGGCTCACTGCCTCCCTGGGGGAGTTTTCCAGGGTCTTCTGTCTCTCCCCACAGTCAGCCCCCTTCCCATACATGCAGATGGATCCATGGTCCACACCCAGGATCAAGTACCCAGATGGGGCCAGATGGGGCCCCTCTTGTCCGGACGCAGCCTTCCGCAGCCCAATGCAACTGCTTCCCATACAGGCGGAGCCTTCTGACCGCTGAGTGCTTGCTAAGCCCTTTCCTGCTGGTCTGAATCCTACAGGCCCTAATCCAGATCAAGGCCTAAGTGAAATGCCGCTTCCTCTGGGCAGCCCTCCTTACTTGTACCATCTGTCTAGGAAGCCTGGCTCCCGCTCCTGGGCTCCCCATCCTCCTACTGGATCACACAGAGCTCTGCCCACCTCGCCGCGGAGGTAGTATCATAGTCTCATCTCACCTATGGGTCCAGGAGCTGAGTTAGGCAGAGCCCCCATCCAGGGGGCCTGAGCCCAGGGAATGTAAACAAGGACAGAAGAGCAGCTGTGGGGGCAGGGCTGACCAGGAAGGGGCACTGTGAAGACCTGGGCTCTGCAGGGTGGGTGCCCTGTCCAGGGCTTGATGCGCCACCCCGGGGTGTCCTGTCCCTAGTGTGGGCCCAGGGTCCTCAGGCTCCTGTAGCTGGTTGGGGCTCAGCTGGTGGGGATGGAAGAGACCTAAGGTTCTGGGAGGGGGGTGAGGATGGTGTTGAAAGAGCCCACAACTCCTGGACACAGCTGTTTGTGAGCCAGATGCAGGCTGCTGTTTCCACTTTGGCAATGACCGTGATTACTCAACCCATTAGGAGCAATCACGGCATTACACCCGTACTGGAGATGGGCTCCCTCCGAGAACATTGTTACCCTTGTACCAGGAAGTCAGGAGGCAACGGCGAGGCAGTGAAGGCTGGGAAAGCCCCGTGGGGCCCAGGGAGACTGGGACCTCCCCACTGAAGTGCCACCCTGGTGTCCTCTGACCCCCTGTAGGAAGCCTGGAGCCCCAGCTGAGTTGCACCTGGGATGACCTGGCCCAGCCCTGGGAGGTGAATTCAGGACAGGGAAGTGAGGTGGCACCGGCAGGCTGGGCTAGGCCAGGAATGCGGGAGGGTTTCCCTGGCAGGGAGCAGCCCGCCCTGTGGGAAGGGAAGGGGGGCGGGCGGCGGCTGGCACCTGCTGACCTTGGCCCAGGATTGGGAGAGGGGAGAGGGATGCCTGTTCCTCCCCATACTCTGCCTGTCTGGTGGGAGCAGAAGCCTACACCCCTAGACCCCCGCCCCCCCAGTAAGTCCCCACCAGCCTCCTAGGGCTCCCGGCTCGCGCGGCAGCTTGGCCACCCTGCCCCCAGCCCAGTAGATGGTGATCCAAGGCTCTGGAACCCTGTGGCCTGGAGTTCAGATGCTGCACACAGGCAGCCCCACATCTTTATCTGGCAGATTGGAAAAGGCTGAGAGAAGGAAGCGGAATCACCAAACCGCGAGGCTGCACAAGCACCAGAGACAAGGTGGGGGCGGGGGGAGGAGAGCCCCTCCCATGCTTCTGCCTCAGGGTCCTCTTGGGCCTGTGCCCACACCCCGATCCTGCCCTCCCCCCTCCCCTCCCCGAGGTGGGACATCTGGACCCAGGCCCCCTGCTGCGGCAGGAAGGGGAGGCTTGGGCTGCAGCCCCAGGTCTGACCCAGGAGTAGGGGGCTTGGCTGGAGCTCCAGGCGGATCAGGGGGGCGCCCTCCAGGCAGAAGGCGGACCGCCTTCCTGCGACGTCCGGCACTCACCGTACCACAGCGGCAGCAGGAACAGGGCCACGGCTGGCAGCCGCCTCATTGTCTCAGCCTGGCTGGGGCACCAGGTGCAGGGGCTGGTGGTGACGGGAGGTCCGTGAGCTCAGGGTGCAGGGCTCCATGAAGTGGGGTTTTATGCTGGAGGTGAGTGTCGGCTTGGCTATGCCGCCTGACCTGTCCGCCCGGCCCATCCAGCTCCTCTCCGGAAGGAGGTGCCCCAGAACCCAGACTCCTCCATGACCGGTTTCTGAACTACGAGGGGCCAGACCCCTCACCCTAAAATACCTTAGGGTCCTGGGGCCAGGCTGTGTCTGCCCCATTTGGTTGCTCATGGCCTGGGGTTCCAACCATAAGTGACCAAACACTCCCCACTGACCGTGGGCCCCAAGTAAGCTGACAGCAGCCTGCCCTCCAGACCCTCCCTGATTCATTCATTCATTTGTTCAGCTATTGATTTGTTGAGCACCTACTGCGTATCAGGGCATCAGTGAACAAAACTGTCCAGGCCTGGGGCTTACACTGATAGCGAAGGGGACACGCGAAAGTCCAGGTCACCGCGCTTGTGGAACAAAGAACAGGGGGGCATCGGGGAGTGGGAAGAGTATCCCTAGCTGACCCCAGCGCCACGCTCACGGGGGCGCGTCCAGCGTGGCCCCGACCCCCGTCCCCTCTCTGGGGCTGCACCCTCCTCCCGCGGGCGGTGGGCGGGGGTCTTCCCGGCACCCGCAGGCCAGGGCGGGCGGGGCGGAAGCGGCTTCTGGGAAGGCCTGGCCGGGACGAGCGTCCCCGGGCGCCCCGGCCCTGGGCGCGGCGGGCCGGGCTGCGGGACGTGCGGCAGCGGCGGAAGCGGCTCCGAAGGAAGTTATTTGGGGCACGGGGCTGACGTCAGAGCGGGAGTCGGGGCTGGGGCGGCCACTCCTGGCCCGTGCCACGGGGTCAGCACCCCCGGCCAGGTTCGGGCGGGGGGCGCCGGACGGCAGTGGAGCCCTGCCTCCGTTTCCCCGCCTGCGCAACGGGCACGTGCGTAGACTGGGCGCGAGTGGGGGCCGCGGTCACGGGCTGCGGGGCGCGCTGGGTGTGCGGCACCCCGGCGCCCCCACGCCCCTAGCTCCCGCAGCTCCCTAGGGTCCCGGCTCGGCCCGCCCAGGGCTGCTGGTTGGCGCGGGCCTGCCCCCTGGTGGCCGCGGGCTGCAGCGCGGGGCCCCGCCGACGCTTCTCGGCTTTAGCACCCCCAGCGGCCCTTGGGGGGGGGGGGGCGTCACCTCCTATTCGTTCGTTCATTAATTCATTCATTGCTCAAGTATTTTCTGAGCGCACCGTTCCAGCAGTGGGAACATCGAGGCGAACAGAACAGACACAGCTCAGTGTGGAGGAGACGACGATGTATAATTTAAAGGAAAAAAATGTCTAATCGTAAACTGTGGAAAGTGTTTCAAAACGGGGACCAAGTTGACTAACAGGCTTTCCTGAGAAAGGTCCAGCCTCGTTAATCAGGTAAATGCAAATCAAAGGCCGGGAGAGGCCAGTTCTCGCGCGGAGTTAGCAGGCGGTGGAGGAATGTAGTCGGTCAGGGCTGTGCGGACGGACGTGGGCCCGCGGGTGGGCACAGCTGGTTCCTGAATCGGGTTGTCAGCCTGTGGTTTCAGCTTTGCAAAACAGTGATTCCCTTTGATTCGATGACTTCACTGCCGGCTGGCTATTCCAAGAGGAACAGCCTCAAAACAGAAATAGCATTAAAGTGCTAGTGAGCCACGTTATATTTATTCTTGCAAAAACAAATAAAACAAAAACTAGTTCGGCAGTGGTAAATAAAGCATCCTCTGGGTAGAATTCCTCAGAAGGATATTTTCGTGGAAGTTGGTAAATCTGGGAAAGAACCTGACCTAAGGAGAAATTTTAAAAGGAAAGGCATAGGGGCGCCTGCGTGGCTCAGTCGATTAAGCCTCTCGCTTCGGCTCTGGTCATGATCTCACCGGTGGTGGGTTTGAGCCGGTTGTCAGGCTCTGTGCTGACAGCTCGCAGCCTGGAGCCTGCTTTGGATCCTGTGTCTCCTTCTCTCTCTGCCCCTCTCTCCCACTCCCACTCTGTTTCTGTCTTTCAAAAATAAATAAATGCTGAAAAAATTTAAATAATAAAAGGGCAGATTTTACAAAGGGCAGATTTCTACAGAGATTTGTAGGAAGTATAATAATGATGGAGATGTTTTAAATTTGGGGGCAGCTGCGTGGCTCAGTGAAGCGACAGACTCTTGATTTTGGCTCCAGTCATGATCTCACTGGTTTGCGAGCTCCAGACCCGCGTCGGGCTCTGTACACTGACCGCAGGGCTTGGGAGTCTCTCTCTGCCCCTCCCCCACTCGCACTCTATCTCCCTCACAATAAATGAATTAAAAAAAATTTTTTTAAGTTTTGAAACAACAGCAGCAACATCCAACACCCGAAATAACAGGCAGCACGAAGGTCAGCAGGGGCCAGCTGGGAGCGCGTCCGTAGTCGCGTGGACTTCTTCCCAAAGCAGGAGACGGGGAGCCAGCTTAGATTCATGGGACACAAAGGATGTTCGTTCCTGAGAGCTTCGGTCCTGACTGGAGGGACTCAGTTCATGGGAACTTTCTGCGAAGGCCCCCCGGGAGCCAGGGCCGTGCTGACGACCTCCCTTCTCGCCCCCAGGGCGCAGGGCCGCCCGGTTCTCCAGGCCCCAGGCTGCTCACACAGCCGCCACGTGGCCGCAGGACAGAGGTTGTTAACAGAAAGGAGGAAGAGGGAGAGATGCTGGTCGGTAAGAAGCAATGCTCACCGTACTCTCAGTAAGTGGGAGAGTAAAATAAAGACATTTTCAGATCCAGGATGTCTCAGAATATTTAGCCCCCGTGCACTGATCTTGGGAAGCCACTGGGGGACAGACGCCCTCTGACCGCGGAAGGAATACCCTACGCAATTAGGAAACGCGCGCCGCGGGACTCGGAACTGAAACTCAAAACCTCCAGGCTGCAGGCGAAGGGAGATGCCAGTGACAGCTGTGCCCCGAGTCCTCTCTGGGACAGCCTGACACGAGTGACGGGCACGCCGACATCGTCCCCATCGCGTCCTCTGCCACTGCACGGTCTTTTCTGATGAAACTACTGACAGATGTGCTCCACCAAGACACGGTGGAAACTGAGGAAGAGGAAGATGCGGGGCCCAGGACAGGGAGCACGAACCAGGAGGAAGGCACAGGGACTTCCGAGGATGACAGCTAGGGATGTCCCAGACGCAGTCCCTCGCGGGGCTAACCTCGTGGGGAATTGCAAAGGGTGCGTAGGCACAAAAGAAATGAACGCCACCAACAAAAGCAACCATTCGCTTGGGGGGGGGGGAGTTAAGAAAGGGGTAAGCGGCCTAGTACTCCCAGAGCCTCATCCGGTGATGGCACCAGCCAAACTTGACCTCCAGGACCTTGTCAACCAAATCACATTCAAGTGCCGTCGAGGTTTTCTGGTTGCTCTCGAGCTGAGGAACTACGGACTAGAGTTCGCCCTGCCCACCCCACGCACGTGGGAAGGAGGAAGGGACAGGGCCGCCGTCATTAGTAACCGCACGGACCCCTGCTGCGTGGAGCCTGCTTGAGATTCTCTCTCTTTCCCTCCGCTCCTCTCCCCCGCCCCCACAAACAGACAAGCAAACACACACATAAATTTTGGGATCTATACCATGTAGATATGGATGACAGCTACAATATAAAGTACAAGGTGAGGAAAACGAGCGTGTATAATTGCAAATTTTGTACAGCTTACATGCAGTGATATACTATTAACTGTAAGCAGACTGTAAAAAGTTACTAACTTCCACTTTTGACATTTGTTTTCAGAGCATCTCATGTGTTTAAACAGCCAAATTCCTGTTGTTATGTGTTAAAATCTCAGGAGACACCCAACACTCCGGATTTCACTGGTTTGTACAAGAATTTCCACCCTGGCTAAAAATTCCTTCACAATCGTATACCTGCAATTAGTCTCTGACTCTGACCCAAATAGGAGATAAAACAGCCCATTCGTTTTGAAAAGCCACTTGATTAAGTTGACTGATCTGATCCTTCTCCTAGTTAGGCCTCGGCTGACTAAAGAACTGAATACAAGCCATGTTCCACCTGTTTCTCACAATACCTGTGACTGTTCTCAGAGCACTCTGCCCTTCTGCACTACTTGGTACTAGGTGGTTAGATATTGCCACGGAATCGTTATTCTGAACAGGCATCCAACAAGTCACACGGTGTCATCATAAGTCTCATGGTCAAAGGTGGTCTTTTGAGAGATTGGTGTTTTTAGGTGGGGGTGAGAAATTCTAATGAGGGAAACGGTTCACACCCGGGTGAACTGAGAAGGTGCTGACAGGTAACAGGGCAAGGGCAGATATCACGTGGTCTTTCACCTTTGCTCCACCAGAAGATTCTCGTGATGTTCTCAGCAGCCGTAAACAATGGCGATTGTTGTCTGATATTTCTAGAAGACCTACTCCGTGACAGAATGGCCAGACTTGCCTCTCTGCTAATCAATGTACCTCGCAAAATGTACCAAATAGGTTCACCTTTGCTAGGCTGTATAGAGGTTTATGCCTTCTCTTTTTCTCTCTTAATATTTATCTATCTATTTATTCATCCAGCTTTATTGAAGTATGATTGAAAAATAAAATTGTACGTATTTAAGGTGTACAGTGTGATTTCATATATTTATACCTTGTGAAATGATTACCACAACCAAGCTAATGAACACATCCATCACCTCCTTTGGTTACCGTTTTGGGGTGTAGTCTCTTAGCAAATTCCAAGCATACAAAACAGTATTATTAACTATAGTTACCGTGCTATGCATTCGATCCCTGGAACTTATTTATAACCGGAAGTTTGTACCCTTTGACCAATGTCTCCCCATTTCCCCTACCCTGAAGCCCCAGTAACCACCATTCTGCTCCCGTGAAGGTAACCTTTCCCGATTTCACGTATGAGTGAGATCATACAGACTTTCTGTATCCCTGATCTTTCTGTGTGTTTTGTGTATATTCTAACAGA